GACGTTTCGGGCCTAGACCCTTCATCAAGGGTCTAGGCCCGAAACGTCAGCCTCTCTGCTCCTATGATGCTGCTTGGCCTGCTGTGTTCATCCAGCCCTGCACCTTGTTGTCTCGGATTCTCGAGCATCTGCAGTTCCTACCATCTCTGATACACTTTTATGTATTTGGTAATTCAGAACATGAATATTACTCAAGAGGGTGATGCTGCCAAAGCTGTTTTTCTTATTCTTACACTCATTAGGGAAAATGCAAGGAAGCCAAATTTCAAATCATCATAATTTATACTGCAAGAGATAAGGGTAGTTGGTAAGGCAACTCAGTGGTTGAGGCACTGCCATGGATGAAGCAACAAGGAATTCAAAATAAAACTTCTAGCCTTCCATGTAATTCTGTGATTGGGAAGCAATCCTGAATGTGCTAATAGATAATGCCATCGCACAATGTTCGCACTGCTGCAATGATGTTAGGTACACTGTTTCTCATTCTTAACTCAGCCAAGGTTAAGGAATATCAGCAGTTAGATGGCATTACTTGGGAAAAAATACTTGCAAGTAGTAGTGTTCCCATGCATCTGTTGCTTTTGTCCTAAGTGGCAGAATTGAAGGGCTTGGGAAGTGCTCCTAAAGAAGTCTTGACAAGTTGTATGTATTTTAAGGATACATAGCATCAATCCCTACATGGCAGCAGTGGCAACAGCGCATTTTAAGTTGATGAACAGGGGAGGTATTTAAGAGGGCTGCTTAAGTTTCCAATCATATATTTTCAAATGCAGAGGGCAGTTAAGAATCAAACACATTGCTGTAGATCTGGAGCCACATGTTGGTCAAGCCAAGTAAGGCAGTCAGATTTCTTTCATGAAAGGACCTTGGTGAACCAAATGATTCAATTCCAAACAAAGACAGTTTAATATCATCACAACAGGTAACAGCTTTACACTGCAATTTATTCATTGAATCTGAACGCCATTAGCTGCTGTGATGGGCTTAGGACCCGTGCCCCAACAACATTAGTCTGGGTTTTTGAATTATTAGTCCAGTGACATCACCACATCTCCATCTCCTATTAACCGATCTGATATAAGGAACATATTCATGTTATAGCCAAAGTGATGCACATCCATGACAAAACGTTTAATAGATTTAAATTATTCTTAAGACAAGCTGTTTCTAAGCATTGTCTGCCTACGAATGTAAGAAACAAGATCAGACAAAGGCCATTCGGTCCATGAAAGCTGCTCATATACTATACAAGATCATTGTTATAATTTTCTACCTCAAACCCAAAAATTATAGCAGTTAAATTCTCCAGGGAAATTTGAATGGTGACAAAGAAACAATAGATCATAATGTTGGTTCTCACTCAATGTAGGTCTTACCTTGTACTCTAATGTCTGCAATATTGCACTTCTCATCACACACAGCCACATTAAATGCATTCATCACTGCAAACATCTTGAAAACAACCAGGTCAGCATCCTTTGAGCTTTTCAAAACTGCCAAAAAGAGAGTGACAAACTCAGACGCCTTTTTTTAATTAAAATCAAACTTATACAATCAAGAAAAATACTTTAAATAAAAAGTTACTTCTTCTTAAAGAACACTTTGGCAATAGGTAAACAGTTTATTTACAGATATTAATGATTTGACTCTATGTTCTGTTCCATGCACAGGATGAAAGCATGATCTCAGAGATAAGATATACCAGCCATGAAAAATTAAGTGTGTGTGAGTAAAGGATGGTTAGATTGTTTTTAAGGGATACAGAGGTACCCCTGTCGGTGGTAAAAGATTGATTTACTGTTCTGTCAGGTGGCACAGCAAAGAAGCACAGTAGGTTGTTTGATAGGCTGTAATTATTGATTGGCCCTAATTGCTGCTGGGCTGAAGACAGAGACGGCTACACAGTAAAGAAACAAGAATTTCATGGTTCAACATTGCAAATAGACACAAACCTCCAAAGGAACTGAAAATAGAGGTGGGAGGAAGAAAATGTATATATTCTGATATTTGTTCCTGTAACAAACAGAAATAATTGAGCAATATAAAAGTTAATATTATTTATTTAATTTAAAGTATTCACAATCCCTTCTAGGGCAACACTTCAAAAAAGTAAGTAAGTTCCCTTCTTATAGCCAATGCTAGTTTCATTTGCACGTGGACACGGAACATGTATGAGCTGAACTCCCAACAGATTGAATGCGCATCAACTGAGATGTAGTAACGAACAAAGAAAAATATTGCCAAGACATTTGTCTCAAACTGAATACGATCTTACGATTCAACTCCACTTCCCCACTATTTCTTACCCATTGATTCTGAGGGACCAAAAATCTGTTTCTCAGCTTTAAATATATTGAATGAAGATACATCTTCAGCCTTCTTAGGTATAACACTCCAAAGGTTGACAAATCTCTGAGCAAAGAAATTTCTCACCTCCCCTATCCAAATGATCACGCCTTATCTTGAAGCTGTCTCTGATGATCCAGTTTCCCCAGGTAAGGAAAGCAACCTCTCAGTATGTTATTTGTCAAGCCCCTTCATAACCTTAAAAACATATATCGCTAGCAAATCTCAGCAGGTCTGGCCACATCAGTGGGAAGAAAGAGTTAATGTTTAGAATCTGGTGACTATCAGATTAACTCTGCTTTCTTTCCATACATGCTGCTAGACCTGCTGCGTTTTGCCAGTTTTTGTTTAAGATCTCCAGCATCCACAGTTCTTTGTTTTATTTTGTGCTTCATAATTTTGAATGTTTCAGTTGGATCACCTTTATGGTCGATGTACCATGGTCATATATCATCGAATTAAATTTGAAATTGTTTGGCCACGAGATGATAAATTAAAACTGGAGAAAATGCCAGCCAGATGAATATATCTTTGTCACACAGGACCCTACCTAATGATGAGTCAGGACTAGGCAAGAATCAAATCATTGTTTGCCAAGTTGCTATTTCCTTAATTAGATAATTATGACATAAAAACTCTCTCATTTAAAATGAAACCAAATTCCAAAATTTGCTTCAAGCATTAATTACAGCATTAAGCTTGAAAATGTCTCTTTAAAGCGATCATGTTTTCAAAACCCTGTCAGTAAAGTGGGTGTGGAGGCGGCTCAAACAACATATCTACTCATTTTACTACACAAACACAAAATACAAACATCTCAATGCAACTGCAAGTAAAAGTGCTAATGAACTCACATGAGGAAGAACTAACTTGCATTTATACAATTAAAACCAAGAAATGCAGATGCTGGAAATCTAAGATTTAAAAAAAGCTCTGGAGAAACACAGCAGGTCTTACTACATCTGTAGTGAGAGAAACAGAGTTAATATTCAGTCCAGGGGTGAGCTTTCATGAGGTTGTCATTACTAAAAATGCAAACACAAAGGGTTCCATAATCTCTTGATGCCCATAGTACTACACATTCAAGGAATTACGTCTAAAGTTCATCCACTGTTAAATAGGGAACCACCAATGGTGTTGGAAAGATTCTCTCTCTCTATTCCATAGAGAGGGCATCATGCTCTCTGTAGCTAGCCGGGAATAAAAGTCAATGCGGCTACATTGGCACCAGAATCCAAGATCAAACCTCAACTTGTCGTAACTTCCAGAAACGAAAATGTAACGAAGAATATCTGCTCTTAAAAAGTGAAGCAAATCTCATGCTCAGCTTGGCTAATTGCAATTTCACTCCACTTGCATAATTATTCCAATTCATCAATAAACAATTCTTACATTAAGTTCTGCTAATGCCATGTACCTGATTTTGAGGTAACCCCTTTATTGAGTTCCTGCTCCTGCTGTTGAGATTTCGTTTCACGATCTCTATCAATTGAACTCATGTCAGCTGATGGGACTACCACTGTTAGGAAATTGATGGTTGAAAGTAAAGCTTTTGCATGCAGAAGGAAGTTGAGTGAAGAAAACGTGACCTGTTGACAAGACAAAATAAGAAGGTCATCCATTTGGTATAATTATACTAGATTACAGCAATGCATTTCAATCAAACTTTAAACTGAATAGATCTAATGTTCATTTCTGTTTTTTTACAATTACTTTTGTAATCTGTAGATTTTGTCTATTATATTCATACCATTCAAACATTAAAAGCCTCCATTTGAGAAAAGCGTAACTATCACTCTCAAGAGCCATTCTAGGGAACCACTTAATCACAAAAATGGAAAGCACATTTACAACCTAAACAGAAACAGATTTAATTTCAAACCAGGAAAGAATCAGCAGACTGTTTTGGGAAGACACGGAGTGAGGAATGGAAATGGAGACAGAACTGATCTTCAATGGATAATTTGCGTATTTTTATATTCATTCATGGGATGCGGACATCACTGGCTGTGCCAGCATTTATTACCTTTCCCTAGTTGGCCTCAAGGCGGCAATGGTGAACTGTCTTCGTGGCCTGCAACAGTCCATTTGCTGTAGGTACACTCACAATGCCGGGAGGGAGCTCAAGAATATTAACCAAGCAGTGTCAGTGGTAATTAGCAGTGCCCATGTTTGACCCGATACCACAAGACTTCATGAAGTCTGAAGTCAACGTTAAGCACTCTCAGGGCAATTCTGTACTGACTGTACTCTATTGTGTCACTTCTAATGAGTCTGTCCTACTAGTAGGACAGGAAATACCCAGGGATGATCATGTACGTCATGCCACAGACAAGAACAAGGCATGATTCCATAAGTATGATGATGTCAAGCCGTTATTTGACAAGTGTGCAAGACAGCTCTCCCACATTTGGCACAAGCCTCCAAATCTAAGCAAGGAGGAGCTGGAAGCAGTGGGAAAGAAAGGAGACTCAACACGAACGTTTACTACTTTTACTTGTGCTCAGTAAAGGTCCATGCTATTATAACAAAATAAATCAGAAGATAAACATGTGCTACATTGGAATCTTATCTGTACTCAATTCATATCAAAAATTAATCTGACTGACTTAAAAGTTAGGTTTAAAATTGCAACAGGTGTGTAAGCGATATATCATAAAGAACAGGTGAGACAGATTACAAGAAATAATAAGATGATGAATCAGAAAAAAAACTGAAATGTGAAATTAAAGAAAGCTTCATCCTTACTGCAATGATCCTTTTACTACAGTTACTACTTAAATGATCTTACTACAGAATGGTTGGCTTCCCACTAAGGCCATCATTCTGTAATTGAAACTATTTAATGAAAGAATGCTCAGTTGTGCAGACCAAAAACTGAGCATCTATCGCCTCTCCAGAGAAAATAGTAACTTGTCTGATACTCCCAAAATCCAAGCAGACAGTCATCACATCCCACTGACCCAGGCTGGGAGCAAGACAGCATCTCAACATGTGGTGCTAACCTTTCACCTCGAATACTTGATTTAATTTTTCAACACACCTGATGAACACATTTCTTTTGTGCATGGTAGAGGCTTTATGTATATATACACATACATATATAACTCATTGTTAGGATGTAGGCATCACTGGCAAAACTTGAGTTAGTTATCCATTCCTAGTTATTCTCAAGCTACTACAGGCAGACCTACTTCAACAGCTGAAGCCTACATGAAGCCACACCTGGGGGTTCCAGGGGTTTGACCTAGTCATGTTCTTGTTAATACAGTCATGATAAATCAGTTGTGGAAGTTATGGACATTTGAGCTCATGGACGATGTGTCCATCAACTAGATTGCTCCATTCTGGATAGTGCCAATGTTCTTAAGTGTAGTGCCAGCTACACTCAACACTTGAGTGGAGAGTATTCCATCACATGCCAAACTTTGCTCAAAATTTCTGACCACTTTTAAAGCACGTCATTCACCGTTGAGCATCTGTCCCCTTCCCTATCGTATATTACGATAAAATATGCATATGCCATGCATGAAATACTTCAACAGTTTTCTCTTTAATTTACTTAACTTCTTTCAAAGTAATGGCAATACCACTGAATGACATGGAGAGATGGGTGTTTAATGTCTTTTCTTTATGAAGGGAAGGTATTTGATGAAACAGCTGAGGATGGTTATGCCAGGACAGAAAACTAAGAATCTTCTGCAGTGACATCCCAGAGAGAAGCAGCCAGCCATCTTTTTCTCTATGCTCATTATGACATCAACCAGTGACGACTTCTCCAATTGATTCTCTTTGACTTGAATTTTACTTAAAGTTTGACCTCAAGGCAAAACTCAGTTGAGTGGTGCTCTGATGTCAAGTTGAGAAGGGTCAGTCACTTCTGTCAAACACTTTTGAGTCAAAGATAACTGCAATTGCATCAGCTTTGACTTTTGTACTCACTAGCGAAGCTTAATCAATGGGCACTGTCATGAAAGCTCCTCCGCCCTGTAGTTGGCTTTCTGGATCTCTGGAGAGTCTAATTGGACTCAAAACATGAACGCTGTTTCTTGAGCCACAGATTCTGCCAGACCTGCTGAGTTTCTCTAGCATTTTGCTTTTATTCCTGGTACTAAACCTGACTTACTGCATTCTTCTTAGAACCAGATTGGTTGCCTGCCTTGAGGGTAACACATGCCTCCAAATTTATCTGAGCATCATACAATCAGGAAGTCACAGACATTGTGATGGAACACAATTCAGCTGCTGCTGTCGACTCAGTGCCCCAAACAGGATGCCCCATTTTGAGCTGCAAGCTTGTCCTGTGATTCAAGTTGTGTGCACACACGCGTGGTTAAAAGGTATCACTCTGTGAATTACTGCATCGGGCTATTGCTCAACTCGTACACAGGCTAGCACTCTCAGCTTTGGCATAAGACTCCAAATGTTAATGAAGAGGACTCTGTAGAGTCAAATGGGTTGAATGAGACTTCACTATCTTGTTATAATTTGATCCAGATGTCAAAGGAACTTCATTTTGACAAGTAAAATTAAAAATTGACATTACTGTAGCACACCATCACAGGCTGAAAGGCATATTATTGGCTCCCTTCATTATTCAAAATATTTGCTCCAATTCAAGTGGAATTGTGTCAAATGATGTTCTTTTAATCATAAAAATCAAAATAATTCTTTAGTGTACAGCAAACAAATGAGATCAAAATGTGAGATCTCCAAGCCGTAATAACTAAACGTTGCAGTGGAATTTCAGAGATTACTTGGGTACTGATTAATGCTGAGCAGAGTACACTTTCCAGTTTTTAACACATTGTTAAACAGACTTCATTTAGACTTGCAGCATCTAATCATTTTCTGCGATAACATAGCTACTTATGTAATTTGAATAAATGAGGCAGGTGAGATGAAGGGGAACACACCGATAACCGTTGCTGCCATATTGCGATTCAAGCAGGTATTCCCACCTTCATTTTATTTCAACACCACAAAATTCCCCACCTAATCAAATCAAAATTTGGGACTTTTAAATAGAAAAAAAAATCATCACTTGGTATACGGTATGATATTTCAGAATTTATATCGTGGGCTGAAGGGCCTGTTCTTGTCCTGTATTGTTCTATATTCTTGAAAGAAATGAAAATCAAATTTACTGGAAGGAGTGTGCTGCAACCGCCAAAGCTTGAAAAATTACAAACCTCTTTTCCCCTTAAACAAATACAAGAACAAGTGTTCTTCATGTAACTGCAGTCACAGACAGTAGACATCATCATGTTCCAGCAAAGTAGGCCGAATTCTATTTCTTTGAATGGGATGAGAGCTCATCAGAAAATTACCTCCTTCTGTGATGTGTTGTTTTATAATGCTGGCTTCAGTATTACCAGATTAAAGGCTATCCCCCTCTGTATGGTCGACTAATTTTCACAAACCACACGAAGGAATGGTATTTTAATCTGATTATTAACCTCATGTCATAAATGTCCTTTATGTAAAAAGGTAAATATCATCCCTTTGCACGAAATTATTAACGTAAATTATTACGTTATTATAGTGAATTCAACTAACATTCAAACTTGATCTACAAATTAGACCAGAGATTTTATGACACCATTCCCTTTATTAATGAATGGATTACACTTAGATGTGGGTCAAGAAACTAGGACAAAAGCTTTTCAAAAATTCTTAAATACTTAAATTATACGTAACTGAAAAAATGAAATGGGTTGACATTTACTTTTGTAAAAAAAATATTCTGAGTCAGTTTTTACAGTTCATTGTATCCCAGCAAAATCCATTCCCTTGTGAATAAAGCTCATTAGCCTAGATTTTGAAGCATTAGTCATTTTTGAAATCAAATAACAAATTTTGCAAAGAATCTTTTTCAAACCAGTGTTGTCCAGCTGGCCATCATGATGCTGAGATACGACAATAGCTGCTTACCTTCAGCATTTGTTCAGTGTTATTGTAATTCATTTTAAAATGTGGTCCATTTTTATCAGCCTGCAAAACAATATTTTTCCAAGTTAATTCTACTTCAGTACTGACATAATGAACAGCAAATACGGATTATTATCCCTCCTTAAGTTAATGATAAAGACTTGCATTAACATAGCCTTTTTCACAAACGTAATACTTCCAACAGGGCTTCACAGCCTATGAAGTAGATGTTATAACTTTTATAAATAATATTAGAAACAATATACAACTCCCATAAACAGCAATGGGATAATCACCCAAACTGCTCTGATGTTGTTGACGGAGGCAGGACATTGGCCAGAAGTCCCCTCCTATTCTTCCTAATAGTGCCTTGGGATCTTCCTCATTCACACAAGTAGGACCTCGGCTTAACTAATCGATCAGAAGTTGGTACCTCCGATAACATAGCACTCCAATTTCAAGCTTTAATAATGAAATCAGAAATTGCTGGAAAAACTCAGCAGGTCTGACAGTATCTGGGGAGAGAAATAAGAGTTAACATTTTGGGTCAAGTGACCCTTCCTCAGAACTTCCTCTTTTCTCCCCAGATGCTGCCAGACTTGCTGAGTTTTTCCAGCAATTTCTGATTTTGTTTCTAATTTACAGCATCTGCAGTTCTTTCAGCTTTTATTTTGTCAAGTTTTAATTTTTGTCTTCAGCCTTAAACCCAGAACCTTGTGAATCAGGTTAGAATGACACTGAGTTACAACCACCAGCACATATAAAGAAAATACTTCTGACTCACTGGAACCATTATATCTATAGTTTATCTTTAGGATATATTTAGTGAAAGAACTCAGAAGAACCTTAATGTATTCCACTTTCAGAAGATCTGAACCTGGCATATCAGTACAACTTATCAAGTGTAGCTTCTGATTTTGGGCATCTGGAAAACACAAAGCCATGAAATCCAGTTTTAGCACATATTGCACAAAGATGTATCAGGATTAAAACATCACTGACTAGTGTAATAGAAAGTTGTAGGTGCTTATCCAAAACCACATTCTTTCTCATCAATTAAACCACATGTGAAATTCATCTGATATGGGTTCTTAATCAATCCAAGTAGTTTTTTCAAACTCATCATAGTTTCCATCTTACTTCCACGCTATAGACCATTAAAAACATTACTGGTTGCCAACTTTGAGAAATAATTAAATGTTAAAAGTGCCCACTAAATAATGATGGCAAAAGATAGCACTCTCTCCAACAAATGCAGGTTAAGCTCATAGTCCCTCAGCCTGAAACATGCTTTGGGAGTTTCAGGCCTCTTAGCATGGAAGGAATCACGAAGCTCATGATTTTCAAACTTTTCCCACACAAGTAAAGAAATCAGAGCACACCGCAATTCACATTATGGAACAGCTAAAAAGAATTCCTCAGTAGTGTCAGGATGACAACAGCAATGAGGCAGATATAAACGGCTGGATGGCCCACTCCTGCTCAGATTTCTTCCATCAATTATTTGAGACATTGAAAAAGGTTACCAGAGTGCCATTATTAATACCCATGATTTATAATTTTTGCAAATTAGATGCCAGGGTTGCCAACTACTGAACATATTCACACAAGGTGCAAATGTACTTTTAACAAAAGAACCCAAGTTTATTGCAAAAAGGAAAAAAAAAACAGAACTTTACATGTATCAACTTGGGAAGATCTAATCATAAACAGGGGAAAGAAAGATTCAGACTTATTTCCCAGCAATATTCTTTACAGACATTTCACCCCAGTGACTCCTGTCTTCACTTTCTAATTTCTTAGACATCTGATGAGGTTGCAAGCATTTCCACTGAACAAATCTCTGCATATATCCCAGATGTGATTCTCCCTATTGCCTTCAGCGACACGGACTAACTCGCTGACTTATCTCAATGAATTCTAAGAAAAACAGTTTTTTTCCCCCAGTAGTTACTTTGACTACTTTTAAGCAGCTGAGCAGCCCAACTACTGGTGTGAACCTTTTCTTTTGAACAAAAGCTGACCGTGTCCTTTCTTTCTCTGGGTCATAAAATCTCAACTGAGTAAACACTTCAACAGCTCCCTCACCAGGCATTTACGCAAGTGCTTTGTTGAAATGCTGTTTTGACCCAATGTTTAAAATGTTTCTAGCCTTGAAATACATACCTTCATGAAATTAAAAACTAAGAACCTATTTATCTCTACTTTAGAGCCCAAGTTTGCAAATAAATAATAATAAATTATCAACCTTCATTACACCATATTGGGGTAATCAAATTATGTGTTTCCTCTGGCAAGTAAATCAGTAAGCAGACGTAATAAATTTCAAGTACCTGGCAACACCTGGGGAGACTAGCACAATTTGGTTTTCATACAGAGGGATTTCATGTGGAACATGCTACCTGAAAAGGGAGGTAGCAATCAACTTTCAGAAGACTTGAAGAGTCTTGATTTCCCAAGTTATGGGGAAAAGTAAATTAGGCAACTTCTTTAAACAGCCAGCAAGGATACAATGTGCTGAATGGTTTCCATCAATCCTGTGACTTGTTTAAACTGAAAGAATTAACTAGAGCATGTGACATGACTCAAGTCTACATAATGCACTTTTGACAACTGTACCAACTCTTTTCTCTCAACATTTTTACCCTACATTGAATGTCTATAAACACCAAGCAAAACTGGAGTGATTTTTGAACAAGGTGAATCTTACTGTCTATTTCTTCCCTGATTGGCCCAGGTTAACAACCCCAATCAGGGAGCCCCAGCTGACTGATATAAACAGGGGATTCAGAGTCTCCTCACTTCAGGGGCTGACTCTGAGCTACCTGGTCACAGTCAATGTACTGTGCACACATGAGTAAAGGGTGACTTGGTGACAGGATACCAGCCGCTCTGCAATTATTTCAAAAATGCTCAGTGAACCACATATAGCCAGGCTTCTATATGTATTGTGTAATGTATCAGTCAAGAACCTCACGAAAGAGCGATAAAGGATCCTCAGATTTTCCCTCCTCTTACTACACATACTTCAAGGCAAGCTGGCAGTTTTCACTCAGAACAATTCCACAGCAATCCAGCCTCAGCAAGGTAGAAACTAAACCGGAATATCACAGCTACTTGGCACGATAAATTACCAAACTGAACCTGTGTTATGATCAAACACCCACTAGAGTACAAACTATTTGGTGCATATATATTTGAATTTCACCACCTACTTAGAAATATACAAATGTTAGAAAGAGTTTTCAAATTTAGGATTCAAGTTGAGGTGATTTTGACATTACCGGGAAGACATAAAAAAGCTTGCTCAAAGTGGCCAGAGTTATTAGTTAGATTCTCCAAAAAAAAAAAACACGAGCTGTTCAAAAATCAGAATTGCGTAGTTCATTTTTTTTTTTATTGCTGATATTAAGAAGTTTGAGGTTCTGTTTGTGAAATATATTTATTGCCTTCCTTCAAAACATTCAAAAGGAGCTTAATTTATTATTTGGGGGAGTTTTAAGAGGTAAATACTCACCAGGAGAGTCACAATAGTCTAACGTGATTTTCTTTAAATATGATGTAGATGTTAAATGAAATGTTCTGATGTTCACTTCAGTCCCCAGTTGAGACACGCTAAAAGCGAGCAATGGCTTCTCCTGGTCTTCTTGCCTTGTTAATTCAACGACAACCTGCAAGAAAGTTACCAAAATGTTACTCAACATAACACAATGGCACGAACGGTACTCACTTGCTCAAATAAGTACACACTTCAAATTTACATGTAGTTTTGGTCACCTTGCCAGCAACATATAGGATAGAGAGCCATAAATCTTTCACATTAAAGCCACAAGTCTGATTTTTAATACAAATTTCAAGTAATTTGCCATTTCACCATGTACCAGAGTTTGACAGGGAGGTGTTGAAAAGAAGCACGAGTATCTTTTCTCTTGATTACAATCTACAATAAATAAAACTGGCTAAAGGGTCTTATTAGAGGTGATATACAAGTGATGCTTCTTTCACCCAAGTCTATAACATAATTCTCAATCACACATCAAAAATAAATGAGACCCAGACAGTAGGATCACTGTATTATTGGTCTGGACCAGATATTCTGGAAGATTTTAAGAAAAAAAAGTTATAATCCTTCTTTCAACACTCACTACGATTATTTTCAAAGCAGCACCAACAGGTTTCTCTCCTAGCCTACAAACAGAGAATGGTGCACAGCACAAGAGAAACCAGAACTAATCTATAGAAATGCCTTAAAGCAAAGAGCTACATTTCAAGAACAGTCCGTACTACTTGAACCATTCTTATAAGCATGACCACCGATAGTCAAGCCATCTACTCCAGATAATCCATAACAATTTACAAAAATGTAATACTGATACAAAGGCAAATTTAAATGTGCGCACAAACAATGGAAATACAAATGAGCTCAATGCTAACATGCAGAAAATGTTTGATACCTCTTTCACTTCGAACTTCAGCTGGAGATCTGTCAGTTCCTCACAGAGACTCTCAACATCCTCTTTCTGACCTGGATAGGGCTGTGCATCGCCAGCTCCCATTACGAGTTTGCTTGGCAAGTCAGCTTCTTCCTTTGCGTCACAGAACTCTTCTTCGGATTCCAGCGAACCTAAAGCACAAGATTTGCTTATACTTAAAAAGGAAACAAGAAACTGTGATTATTTCAAAAGAGTATTACTCTAATTACTCCAGATACAAAACATTTGCAGGCAATAAGCAAAGCAAATCAATTATTATGTTATCTCCGAGACCAAGCAAAACTTTATAAAATCAGACAGCTAAAGTTTAGAATCCACAAATCCATCACTGGTCTTGTAAGTTTCTTAACCAAAAGTAAAACCAACTGAGAATGTGGACATCAGGTAGAAATTAATTAATAATTTGAATGTTAGTAGCAATTAAGTTTCATACAAAAGTGGTAAATCACAAAAGTAATTGCGCACAAATGCATAACACCCTTCCTGTCAGCAGAGACATTTAAGCCAAATGGAAAAGTGCAGCTAGTGATACTAGTTCTGGCAAACATTACTCCCACCTGAAGTAAACTGTTGCACCATCTCAGGAGCTGCACCAACTAAAAGAGCAAGGGAAGTAGGTGCATGATAACATTGTTCCAAGTTCACCTCCATCTCCTGACTTTGAAATAAATCAGTGTTCCTTCATAGTCTCTCAATGAAAATCCTGAAATTTCCTACCCAACAGTATTGTAGTAACATCTTGACCACTCAAGCCTGCGGTATTTTAAAAAGGTCTACCACCACCTCAAAAGAAAGTGGGCATGGACAATAAAAGCCAATATAGGGAGCAATATTCACATACTGAAAGTTAATTCTAAAATCATGTTGTTATTTCTTTTTCAATGGACCTTTTCCATGACTGACAACAACACCATCGCTGTCCAGTAGTACACAAGTCTGACATGCCAGTAAATTGTATCAACGAAAAGAACACCAACTTTTGACCAGAGTCTGTCATACTGCAAACTACTCATCTCTACTATCAGCTGTACTGAAGCACAAAACAAATGGTACTTCCCTACAAGTTAGTGAAGGGTAACGAGAATGCAGAGCCCCAATGTCTTTTCCCAAGCTCAAGCAGATGAAAACACGAAAGCAGGTCGTCTGCCTCTTCACTTGGTCAAACATGTTAAACCCAGTTCAACAAATATAAAAAGCTGTTCTAGCTTATTAAAGAAAGACAGCAAGACAGAACACAGTTATGACGATCTCACTCTCGATTACTTAGAAGTTTTTCACAAGGTAATGCTGAAAACTCAGAAAATCCAACATTCAAAAGGACAAGATTCACTCACACTGAAGATCTAGGAGAGTGCAGAACAGAAATGCAAGAAATACAAGTAGACCACTGGGCCATTCAAGCACACAGAACATTTAACACAATCATTAGTTGGTCATTGACCCAAATTTTACTTCCTGCACGATCCCCTTAGTCCAAAAATCTGTCAATCGTGACCTTGAATATGATTGACAACTGAGTATTCAGTTCTCTGGAATACTCATGGAATCATGCAAGATCCTGAGGTGACGTGACATTCATGATCCTGAAAAGCTGTTTCCCCATGTGCGACAGTCTAAAACTAGAGGCCAGAACTTGACAGTAAGGTGGAGATGTGGAGAATTATTTTCCGAGGGCCACAAGTTTATGGAATACTCTTCCCTGAAGGCATGGACTGTTAAGGTTTCAGCGGCAGGCAGGAAAGCACGATCAAGGGGGAGAATGGCCTTCTGTTCCTAATTTGTTTGCTTGATTACAGAATTCTGAAAAAAAACTCAACCTCTAAGTGAAAAAATTTCCCAGTTTGGTCCAAAACAGCTGCCCCCATATCCTGGAGATAACAAGGTGTAGAGCTGGATGAA